ATATAGAGAGAGAGAGAGGTGTTTCAAGGTGTTCTTAATATGGTTGACATTTTTTTATTCAGGTAGGGAAGTTTTAGATCTTACAATGTCTTTAGGCAAGTTTCGTGACATAGATATACTATTATGAAATATATGTTTGGCTACTCATTTCTTTTTTTAGATGAGTAATGGAAGTTATTCGATGTACTCTGGTCAGACTGCATCTTCTTCCGGTTGTAAGCGTAATTGGAGTGCCTTTCACATGAAAGTGAATAGTAGGTTGGAAAATCAAAGGCTTAATGATCTTGTATTTGTTCATTATAATTTGCATTTGCAATATATATACAATATATTTTAATAAAATATTCATTCAATTAGCAATTCATTTTTTCAATTTTTTTTTTGTGTGTGTGTTTGTGGATGTTTTTGTAGACTCAAGGTTGATAAAAGGTCTTATGATTCAATTGACTATGAATGTATTGATAAGATTAACTTTTGGGTGGTTGAAGAAGAGTTGAAAAGAGAACTTAATTATGATGATTTACAAAATATGCTTGACGAACATGAGCAAAAATCGACTTCTCAAACGTAATGTTACATTTTTTATTTCTACATAAATTAATTTAGTGTTGCAATTTTAGTTTACTATTAGCATATTAATGACACAAAAAAATCATTTTGATACTTTAGAAAAAGAAAATGGTCATGTTAATGTTGATAAGGATGAAGGATGAAGATGATAATGAATTTCGTGTCGTAAGCAATTGTGAGCCTTTTTTATATTTTGTTTTTATATTGTAATTATGTTTCGCTTTTGATGCATTGAGATTCATCTGAAACTTGTGATTATGTTTTTTTAACGTTTAAACTTGTGGATACCAATTTCCATGTTTTATATATGTATGTATTCATGTATGTTTATGGGTCAACCTTTTTTTCTTATAATTTTTGTTACGAATTTGATTCAAACATTTTTACAAATTTGCCCAACTTTTTTTTACAAATTTTCTTTTATGACTTTTAAAAATTAGTTTTTTTATTTTATTTTATTTTATTTACAAATCTAGTTTTTTTAGTTATAAAATTATTGTTTACATTTTTTTACTAAAATTTTCATGTATTTGTTTTCAATGTTTCATGTATGTTATAAATATTTTTTGTTTTTACAATTTACGTTTTTCAAAAATTCTTTTTCCAACTTTTTTCAGCTGTTTATTTTATGCATGTAAAGTTATAAAAACATATAAATATTCGCTTTAACTTATTTATTTTAGTTAAATTTGTAAAAAACCTAATTTGTATTAAAAAATCTGAAGTTGTAAAAAACTAATTTAAAAAAGTTGTAAAAGCTATAAAAAATTAATTTGTAAGAAAAAAAAGAACTAATTTTAAAAAAACATAGAAAAACAAAGTTGTAAAAAAGAGGATGAAGCAAATTTGTAAAAATGCTTAGTAATAAAATTTAAAACTTAAGCTAAATTTTAAAAAACAAAAAAGTTAGAAAGCCTATGTACATGTTGCAGCACATCACGAGGACTAATTCGGGTCAACCTTAATGGTAAGAAAAAAAAAATAATAAAAAGTGTAGAAAAGTCATTTCATGCCTCTCAAGGGATGAAACATTCAAATTTAAACTAACGAGTGATGACATGTACAACTTTTAACCAACCGATGGACAGTCTGAGTTAACTTTTGAAAATAAGGACAAAACGTGCATTTTGGCATGAGGGACGATTCGTGTAATTTACCCTAGTATTTTAAACTGAGAAAATGTTAGTTAGCCATATAGCTATGTTCGTGGCGAGGCTAGGTATAATTAAGGTGGGTCCTAACCTAAATTTTTTAATGTATCTAAAGTTTCTATAGAAAATTTTTAGTGACCTACCTTAAAAAAAATTAGGACCTATTTTACCTATAAAATCTTTGAATTTGTCAAGAAAAAATTATATAGAAAAATTAGTGAACCATGTGTTTTTTTATTCTAGACTCGCCATTGCTATGTTTGGTGTACTAGCTGAAAATTTAGCTGTTATATGAAAAGCTAACTGATAGTTGAAAAACTAGCTGATAAAAAATGACGTTTGGTAAAACTACTTGATAAACAAACTGAAATATATAAAACGACATAAAATGACATTTAAAAGAATATGTTTTGTATAATTAATTAAGGGGTATATGTGGAATATTTTAAAAAAGCTTCTGAAAAACTTGTCTAAGTAGCTTTTTAAAAAGCTAGCTTAGAAGCTAGTTTTTGGTTTGCCAAACATGACAATTCAAAAAAACTCAAAAAAAAACTACGTTATCAGCTAGCTGTGGCGCGCCAAACGCAGCGATAGTTCTAACACTTTTAAATATAACTATATAACTAAATAAACCAAAAATGTATAGATCTAAACTTGAAGGACCAAAATTGACACATTGGACATCATTATAATATAATTGATGTTATACTGTTTTTTTCTATCAAAATTGTATAAGAAATTAAGAATAGTGTTGAATTAGAGCAAAATGGTATAAAAATAATGTAAAAAAAAAAAGAGAGATTTGATGATGTTTTGGAATTGCCCTAAAGTACCGTTATATCAATTTGCATGTTTAATTAAACATATTTTACTCAAATTACTTTAATAAATTTAAAGATAAGTAAAGTTTTGCCATGTTTATTAGAATATAATTATAATTATTTGATTAGAATAGATGATAGTTACATAATTAATATAATAATTAAGAGTTATTAAAGACATGAAATTATGATTTATGAGAGGGGGTTTTATCAAAATTTTCTACTATTTTCAAATTACCAACAACATAGTCAAAGTAACAACAGAGACGTACCAGTTACCATGGCGACAAACCCAATTCAAGAGAGCTAACGAGCCCTTCATCGAGGTTATCAAGACGACTCAAAGATCCATTAATCCATTCGCTTCCATCTTCACCATCGTAATTCTGATACAGCTTCAATCTTTGTTTATACAATCTTAAACGATCTTCCAATATGCTTCTTTCCGATTCATGTTTCATCACAATCCACCTCAACGATTGAATAACTTCTTGATCATGGAGTTGCTTTTCATGACTCAATCTTTGATGTTGTTGGGCTTCCATTTCAAGGACGCTTTTCTGATTCTGAAGACGCAAAATCAAAGCCATTGTTTCCTCGGCTGCAGTGGTGGATGCCATTCGCTCTTTCTCGAGTTCTATGTAAGCATCATGCGCTCGCTGCCTCTCTATCTTCACCAATCTTCTCAGAGTCATTACATCGAACACTTGGTCTTCTTCGTCACAATGCTCTTGTTTATCAGCATCGGAACGACCGCTTGCGTTGTTATTTACAGTTTCTTTAACCACCTCCCATTTCTCCATCATTGGCGGGCATGAAATATTAAGAAAACTCATCAATCCGCATTTACAAATCGACATCTTTGAATCGGAGTTCTCATGTAAACAATTTCTCAAGCACAACCAATTTAGAAACCGATTAAAAAACCCAACGTTGAAAATCTTTATACCAAAATAAAGCAAAACTAAGAGACCTAAAAGATCCAGGAACTTTTTTAAACACCCCACGATCAAAACCCAAAACCATAAATCTCTGTCAAAACCCCAAAAGCTAAAAACCGATTCAAGATCCATAGAGAAATATCCCAGATGAAAGTTCGAATATATCCCAGATCAAAGTATTTGCAGTCGTTTAAATGCGTAAATTCTACAAATATAAAGTTCTTCGGTGAGATATATCATATAAATTCTATGAATATACATGTTCTTCGGTGTTTATATAGCATTTATGGTGCAACAAACGAGATATATCATATTTATGATATTTTTGCATTAACATATAAAGTTGGAGATTATGCGAAAATTGGGGCTAATGTGTTTGTGTATCTACGTTTTAAAATAATTACTATGAATGTTTCAATAGTCAAAATAAGAATTTTGATAGTTAGTTATAACAATGCGATATATTTTCTTGTACCATTAAATTTATTCGATAATATGTTTGAAGAATAGCCTTATTATTAGAAGATAACACAACAAGATAAAGTAAAAGTTGATATTATAACCAGTAATATATAATAGTTGTATGATTATGGTATGATTATCATATTTTATTATATAGTCGTATGATTATGGTATATAAATATGTGATTCATATATCATATTATTTTAATGTGTAATATGGAAAATAAATGGTTTTATATCTAGGGATTATAATTGTACTATGTACCATACAAATGAAACAATAGATGATCGAAATAAATTGGGACCACTTTGACAAAATCATAACCAAATTAATAAGTGGTTTAAGGTTTTGTCCATCTCATTTGTGTCTTGTTAATGTCATAATTGGGAGGGTTTTGGACCACATCCATTTTTTACATAATCATAACTTGAGTTTCTATGAAATAATTTATTCATTATTATGTAAAATAATCAATAACAACATAAATGAGTTAATATATAATGCATGAAGGAGATATTCGTACCAGAATTTGAAATATGTTTGAATAATTGTTTAGTGAGTATTGAGGAAGAACTCAAGCAACTTAGTTTCTTAAGTTATAGATTTTAATTATAAAAGTATTATCAACTTTTTAAATTTTAATAAATGTCAACATTGCTATATATATATATATATATATATATATATATATATATATATATATATATAATGTTCTTTTCTGTGGTTGAGTAGCTGTTTTGACCGGTTAGAATCGAACATGGATTTTGAATGTTTGTAAATTCTTTTTTTAATATCTTTTTATGGTGATTATTATTTATCAATAGGGACGACAATTCATATCAATTTACCAAGGAATGAGTTGTTTTTTTGTCAAATTTTAATCTAAAAAATAACATGATATTCGACAACTAACTTTGAGAGTTTTTATAAATTTATGAAAACAACTCGAAAGAAAAAACTTCTTTTACAAGTATGAGCTTAAAAGTTTGTATTTTTAACAAAAAAAATTAATCCAAAAGTTATCTCAAATAAATTTTGAGAGCTTTTAGTTTTTAAATTTTATGTTATTTTACATTTTAAAAAATTTACATCCACTTTTGCCTTGCACGTCTATATAATGGGAAAATACCGGCTATAGACATTTTTTACGGTTGAATTTCAAAATATAGACACAAAATATTGGATTTCCGGGTATAGACAATTTTTTGTATCTATATTTTGGAATTCAACCCCCAAAAATGTCTATAGCCGGTATTTTCCCCTATATAATACTAATAGTTATAACTAGATACCGGATAATTTTGCCAAAATACCGTAGGTTTAAAAGTCTCCAAAATGCATCTAAATATTTATAATTTCTTACATCACATTAATAAGATACAAATATTATTATGTTATTAGCATAACCTCTATAATTATATAATATATTAATTCAAATTAAATAAAAAATATATATAAGAAATATTGTGAGTTGACCCAATCTATATTGACCGATACAATATATCACTTTGCCCAAAACTTATAACTCTTCTTCATGAAGGTAACACGAGTTGCAGTGAAATTCACTTGGGCACATGAAATTGAGAGTTTTTACAAAAACAAGGAGATCAATTCGATTCTTTTGAGGTAAAATTCAAACATTCCCAATACAAGATGTGGTTTTTGTAAGATTATAAAATACACTCCAAATCATGGTTCATTTTTCAATATTTATCTGAATATTTGTATTTTTAAACCTCATTTTGATATATACTTAATACTTGTAGAATATATATGTGTTCGGATTTTAATTAGTACTTAAGTTAGTTTTTGGAGGACAAACTCATGTGTCCCTTTATTCCAACACGCAGGGGAGGACCTAGGGGTGGTCCACGGTGACACCGGCAACCCCTAACTTTTCCGGCCGCAGTGGAAAATTTTCGAAATTTTTATTTTTTATACTACCGTGCAACCCCTACTGTAAAATCATGCGTCCGCCCCTGCCAACCCGAGGAAGATCCAGACAAAGTTGTGCAATGGGTTTCCTTCTACATGTTATGGAAGATGTTGAAAACACTAAGGGTGCGTTTAGTTGCGGAAAAATGGGCCGTTTTCCGGAAAATTTTTTCAAGAAAAATAAGAATTTTGAAAACGCGTTTAGTTCGCCTATTTTTCTAAATTTTTCACGGAAAATGAAAATTTTCCGTTTTCTAAAATTACAAAGAAGTTGGAAATTTT